TGCAGCAATCCACCTGGAACTTGCACTGAAGAATATAACGCCTAGGCAAAGATTTTGAGGTGAGCAGCTGTGCTGTGTTTTCAGTATGTTTTGTGCTTGTGCTGTCTCCAGCTGTCAAATGTTGACACTGTTAAGTTATTTATGATGTTTTCAGTTTCCATAAAACTCTGAGCCTTTTATCAGCCAATACAACAGCAAAAAATAATTCTATTAAAGTTTAATTATGAGAAAAGTGTTAAAAGGTAAGATTAACTGAGAAATAAATTTCTGTGTCTGGCTGATAGGTGCATAGGAGGATGCTAAAGATAGAGAAGGTTCTCTTATAAGAAAAATAAAAGGGATTTGAAAATCTTGTCTTTGGTTATTGTTCATCTAGGCAGGGAATCCTAAAGAAACAGCTAAAAGGCTACATGAAGGGAAGATTAAGAAGGAAAGGCAATTTCTTCAGTAAGCTTTAAAGACTTTTTGTTTGTGTAGAACCTGAAATTGCAGAATCTCATGCTGAATTTAATTCAATCTGTATATTAAGAGCAGCAGCTTTTCAAGTTTTTTTTTTTTTTTTTTTTTTTTTTTTTTTTTTTTTTTTAATTCAGGTTTCTTTCTTTACATTTTCCAGAAACCAAAGTCAATACTATTGAAGCTGCCAAAAGTACAGTAGTAGTTAACATTACTAGGAACATTTAAAAAGATTAGGTCAAGAGGCACCAGAGACTTGTACAGGCTCTCTCTTTTTTTTCAGTAGGAAGACAGGGCCAATGCTCAAATGCAGCTTTCAGAACTTTTGTCCTGTCTGCAAGTAAAACTTGTCTAGCCACCAGTCCTAATCCTGACACATTAGAGAAACAGGGAGAGAGGAGAAGACGGGAAATAATTCTAAGTTACATTAGGGCAGTAATAGATACTGAACTAATGTCTAAAATTGCTAAACCCACTGTGTTAAATGATGCAGTGGTCTCAGCTCAGTTCTCAGTAGTCTGAGAGATGGATTAAATGAAACACCAACACAGTGAGATTGAATTTACACTCTTCTTGTGAGTCATAGCAAGAAGAGATAATTTTTATTCTCCCTTTGGAATGACAGTTGAGCTTGAAAGTCTATGTCTTTTGAGTTCACAAAACTCTTATTGAAGCCAAATGGTGTTTTGTTTATGCATGGCATGCAAAAATAGTAAGAACACTCTGAAGTATTTTCATATGAAAAATTGTTTGCACATAGACCTGAGGGCTCATGATGTTCAAGCCAGCTTGGCTTGCAGCAACAAAATTGCATCTTTCTGAGAAATAAAACCAAGGCATGTTGACATGGTTTTGAAAATAACCACAAACTAGGCAATTGGCCTACAGCAGTGTGGTTTCATGATACATTCTCTATAGGGTAATGATAATAGTGACTGCAGAATATAGTGTCATGTGAAAAAGTGAGCAGACCGTTCTCAGAAGGCTATTAAATCCTGTGACAATGTATAGCAGTTTTGCTGGATGTGCTGTTGTATGTTTAGGATATACATACGAATGAGAGCTACAGTAGTTCTCCGGCCGTGTCTCAGAGATCAAGGGCTGCAAAATTAGACTTATAAAAGTATTATTTGTTTCAGACCTCTGGAGTGGTTTGGCTGTGCTGTAAGCCCTGTAACACCTTTAGCTATGTCTAAAGCCATCTTCATCTCTCATCGGTGGAAATCTTTACAGAGAAGTAGGGAAAGTTGCAAATTCTTTTCTCACCATTTCGGCACTGCTCAGCTTCGCAAAAGCGGATCCCATCAGGAACACATATGAATGAGTGGATGTGGGGAGCTCCATTCTGCAATTTAGGGCAGACATGTAAGTAAAGGTGCAATAAATACTATCTTAACTTTAAAACAGGAACTAAGAGAGTGACAATGGCTCCAGCATAAACAAACTGAATGCATTAGTATTTTAGATACCTCATGTAGACGTTGCCATGGTACTTCCTGAACATAGGTTTTGACGTACGCCACTTGGCAAAATGTTGTCATGAAGTGTTTGCAGATATCTATAGCAAATTGTTCTAAAGTTGGGATCTAAGACAACAAACAGTATTATTAGAAAGAAGCAATTACCTCGTACAAAAATAAATTGTTCTGATTGTTGTAAATATTTGGGAAGGATCAATGTTAGAAATTCAGATTTCTGTCATTTCTGATTTTCCGCACTGTGCCTAGTCATTTGATCAGCTTGCAGCATACACTGCAAATAGCTACAGTCACGTCAAAAATCCCCCGTTCTCTGGTATAGTGAGCTGCAGTCCTTGAACTGAGAGAAACTGCTACAGAAGCCTTACACTTTGAGGATATAATGCTGAAATAATCATAGTGATATTCTGATTGAGCTTTACAGACTAAAGATGGGATTTCATTACTGAGACAATTTATGCTACAGATTGTCATTATGATAGATGCAACTGAGGGATATAAGAGCACAGTTAACAATTAAAAGGAGTCTTGCAGACTTTGAGACCTGTTTAAAAATGCTATATAGGAATAATGCATTATTATGTGCTATTAAATTTTTTAAAAGATGGATCTTCTATGACAAATCAACAACAAAAAAGGTTTTGGAAAACTAAGGAGTCCACAGAATAAGCACTGGAAGAGAAAAAATTCTCTCCCAAATCACTGAAGGTGACTAGTGCTGATCTGACATGCCAATAGGGGAGAGATTATTTTGATGCATTTTGAAAACAAAAAGTTAATGTAACAAACACTTCCAAATGAAGTCATAAGAAACAGCAAGACTAGTTAAAATATACCCCATTTTTTTTGGCCAACACAAGGACAATATTCTTTATGGTGTCTGTAGGTATCACAAGAGAGTTGTTTCCATCCAGGTATTCATGAGCAGAAGTCAGACGGAGATGCGTGCACACTTCCACTTCTTTAACAAAGTGCTTCTTCCCTTCTCTATGAAGGCGAAGGAACTTAATTGTGTTCTTCCCATATTCACAGTTGAGGACTTCTACATCCTTGATCTGGAGAGAAAATACATGGCAGTTGTAAAGGAACGCAGTGGAAGCCTGAGTGTGCTCAGTTCAATGAAACATAGACAATGTTTATGGCCTTTATTTCAGTGGTTACCTGTGATAATGAAAATATTTTCATTATACATTGCAAAGCCCTGGCGGGAAGAAAAAACACTTTAGGAAGCTATTACATTAGTAGCAGGTGTGATAGAATTTTAAAATTTTATGGGGGGCAGATCATATAACACGAGTAACAGTGAACTAGTCTCTCTAGTTCATCATCTTTGAATTAGCCCTGACTATAGACCTTCACTGACTCTCCCCTCCATCACCTCTTTCTGAAGCCAGAGTGTCGCAGTGCATTCAGTCACTGCAGGTACAGCCGTGCAGAGAGCAGGCAGCATTCACACCCGCACCCTCCGCTGCCACTCCACTGGGACTGGCCCTGCTGGGCTGGGCTGCGCCTCTCCAGATACCACTCCCGATTTTCCCTGGCACCAAGGACTTTCACCACCTCCTAGTCCTCCAGCTCCTAGCTCTCACAACTGCTGTCAGGCGCCACATGTGCAATGCACTAAGCCCTACCTGTTTTCATGCAGAAGCTGTTAAAACACGGTCAGCATCCTGCATGGCAGAGCCCCCCGTTAGCAGGCAGAGCCCCCCATTAGCAGGCAGAGCCCAGCAGGCACTCCATCTCCCCAGGGCTGGCCCCCATCACACACTCAGGGGCACAAGGCTGAGTGGAAGCAATGAGTATCAAAGCAATTCTTCATGAGGGACAGGAAGGTTGCTTTGTAAGCAGGCAGAAGTCCCAAACAGAAAATGGGAACAGCTGACACATTCTCGGCATGTTGTGTGTTTTATTACCCACTCTGTGCACACTGCAGTTCCTGAGAGCAAGGAGAAAAGACAGACTGAGCTGGGCTCATTGAAAGCAGTTCCTCATAACTATGTTATGGCTCTGATCTCCCACCAAAGGGATCAGAAACGAGTCTGAGCAGCAAAATTCAGTTCTCGATCCACACCTCCAAAATCCTGGCTTTCTGGGATTGTTGGTTTTGTTTGTGCTAAGCTTTATTCAGCCTTATTCAGTTTTATCCTGCTTCTGTCAAACACACCCAATTTACACATCTAAATATTACAGTGTTGGAAAGGCTGTACTAGAAAGGAGACAAAATTCTCTGAAGGTTGTGAAGATTTCTGTTATGCTATATCCAAAGATTCTTGCACAAGTCCCTGAGGCTGAAATATCCCATACTTGGTATCAACGTCTTTTAATGTAAATCAACACCTTTTAATGTAAGCATAATGAGAAGGGAGAAAGAATATTTTACACACCAAAATACAAATTGAAGCTTTTTATGTGTGAGTTGCTAAAAGACTACCAGATGTAAAATTGCTCAATTCACACATTTGTTCCTAAGAGAAATGCTAATGCACTTAAAAGATAATTAAAAAAAAAATATATTAACTAATTGTAAGTAAATTACTGTGGCTCAGAGATCAAAGTGTTTTCTGTGACTGTCAGTCCCTGCAGGCTCAATCCCCACAGACAAGTGGAGGCCCCACTGCCAGAGCCAGAACTGGGCAGGGCTCAGTGCTGCACCAGACACCCCCTTGGCAGGAATGTGCCTGCTGCCAGGGCTGGATGGAGAGGTAGTGAGATGGAAATTATTTTGTTTTGCTTGTCTGAACACTGAGGTTTCTTCATATAGTTGTGAAAAAAAATTATACTTCAGTCATGCAGCACTAAAAAGAAAACAAGGTTTCGGTTTCTACAGCTTTGTTTTCTGGTTTGTTTTTGTTTGTTTGGGGTTTTTTGTTAAAGTAGAATACTACCTCCTAAAATACGAGGGTAAGTTTTCTCAAAACTATAACTTGACAACTGTCATTTTGCCCTTTTGTTGCCCAAAGACATGGTGAGCAGTTTCCAGCGGGTGCCGGGAGCCGTGGCCCCGCTGCCCACAGCCGTCCCTGCGGTGGGGGCCTGACTCCCCGAGCCGGCTCTGCTGTCCCGGGCAGCCGCCCAGGCTGTGCTCACTGCATCCTACAGCAGGAGCTGACAGTTAAACGCCGCGCAACTTCTCCTTTTAGAGCCTCCTCAGTGCTTGCCTTGTGCAGCTGAGAAACCAAAATGCCCGCGGGACCTGCATGGTGTCACCCTGCTTTACTATTGCTTCTCTCCTCCGCACCCCTGTGGGCCGCTGAGATTTCCTGCAGGAATGAAGACGGGGAGACAGTCGATTGGTAAGTAAATACGACACAGAGGAGAAACTCTGGGTGAGTAAATAACACTTGAGGTTAAACCGCATGAAGGAGGTGGATCACTGAGGAGTAATGCATAGCAATCACTGTTTTACTCCTGTTTGCCTGCGAGTAGTAGCTGAATTTTGCATTTGAAAAACCTAGGATAAATTACTGAACTGTGACTTCCTTTCACTGAGCCAACCACCCTACTGCATTGTGACTAACTGCAAAATAATCGCCGTTTTACACAGCGTTCTTGTCTCACCATCAAAGGGAGCGTAACGTGTGTTCGGGTGCCAAGGCTGCGCTCGCCGGCGGCAGCCCCCGGGGCGCCTGGCCCGGGCCGGGGCTCCAGCACGTGCCTGAGGGAAAATATCCGTATCTCGCCCTTAGCCTCGTCGCTCATACCCCAACGGCAGCGTGGTGGGACTTGACCCCCTGCTGCCATCGCTGAGGGGGAGCGGAGGCCGGGCCGCCCCCGGAGGGGTGCGGGAGAGGCGCGGGGCGGGGTGGCGCTGTGAGAAAGCGCCGTCCGCGCCGTGTGACTGAGGAGCAGAGGTCGCTCCCCACCGCTGGAGCTCCCGGCACGTTAGAGCTGGTACCATCCCGCTGCCAGCAGTGAGCCCGAGGTTGGGTATTAAATGATTAATTGGATTAACGTGCTTTGAAGATGAAAGATGCAAAGTATAATTACATAATATCCAGCCCACGCTTAAAAAGTGAAACAAGAGCTCTTAAAAAAGAGCACGGAAGCCTCCCAAAGATAATATCAACCAATTTCAAAAGAAAAGTGTCTTTCTCATGGAACAATGATTACTTTGGTTACAAGTGATAAAGAAGCAGATGCTGTTCTTGCACTCCCTTCCCTTGCACACAGAGCTAGCTGCAGGGAAGGCAGGAGCTCCTCACACTGCAGGCAGGATACTCTAGCAGGACCATCAAGCTGGGTTTGCTCTGTATAGGCGTAGCATCAAACATATGAGAGTCCGGTCCATCTCTGTGACCTGTCACCCTTGCCAAGGCCCTTCTGGATAATGTGTTTTTTTTCAGGAATCAGACTCTTAGTGGGTGTAGCTACCCAACAATTTAAAGGTATAAGAAATCTTATTACTCCACAAACTGCAAATATTCCTTGCAGAATGAGTCTGTTTGTGCTAAAGCTAAACAAAAAACCAGACCAAACCACAAACAAACCAAAACAAAAAAAAGAACTTTTACCATCCATTACTTAAATGAACAGGATTTTTCTATCCAAATTCTCAGAATTTCTTTGAAAGCTGTGGCTAGGAGTAATTCACCTGTGCCTCTGTGTGAACACCAGCAACAAGGGACCTGTTCCAGATGGCAACTGGGGGGTCTGCACAGGAAAAACCATGTTCCCTTCTGACAAATTTAGCAGGAGGGACAGGGGAGATTTCCTTTCCAACGTGCCATGATCAGAGAATCACAGAATTGTCTAGGTTGGAAAAGACCTTGAAGATCATCGCAAATGAAAGAGAAACTTGCCTGTCTTCAGGGGTTATCCTAGTTTATTGACAAGAAATAGTCAACTTTTGCCTGATTCTGGATTTATTTGCTATGAAGCTGATAGGAGAAGCAGAACTGAAACTGCTGAGAAAAGCTTCCTCTTAACCAAAGCTTCCTCTTAAATGCCCTTTTCAAACAAACACAGCACTGCAAGTTTTATATTGTTAGCAAGAGCTTTATGTGAGTTTCTACTATTCGGTGTTTTCATCCTGCAGTATTCCATAATTACTCAGTATTCATGCACCCTTTCAGTTGCCGCTAAACTGGAGGAATCACTTGCCTTATCTGACCTGATCCCACCCGTGCTCCCCAGCCGTGCCTGTGGTTCCTACCCACACACAGCGCCTGGGCTGGCAAAAGTCTCTGCTCTGTTTTCATTCCATGCAGGAGCTCATCCCACCATCTTCACTGCACCTCGCACAGGGAGTACCAGAGCAAATGGCCGTAGGATCAGCTCTATAAGGAGGGCACAGAGTCTTTCCTTTATTCATCCAAACTCACTGTATTCTGTGAGAAGCTTTTCATGCAAATAAAAGCCAAAACTCTGCTCTCTGAGAAGTGTTGAGTCAAGGACTGAAGCCATGGATGTACACTGTTTGGAGTTTTTTGGGGGGTGGTGGCGGCAGAAGAAGTAAAGATGTGATTATTTGTGGTAAGTTAGTGTACAGTCACAAGCAAACAGTGTGACAATGCTAACTGGCAATAGGCAGGTTTGCTTTTCCTTGCTTCTCAGGAAAGTAACTTTCACTCTGCTCCCACAAATACCTAAGCTCTCGAGAAACTTCCTGTGCACAAATAGCAGCGAAGACTTTATACTGCTTTAATTGCTAATACACTCAACTGGCTTTCTGGAAAGGGCCAAAACATGTATCCACTGGGAAATGGCAAGCAATTTACTGATAGCTCAACTACTGCCATTTCTGTAAGCTTACCTGCTAACACGGATTTGTCAGCTGCAAGGCTGTAAACACCCTGAGAGCATAAATCTTCCAATACATTTCAAAGCAGATTGGAAAGGCTTTGTATGCTAATTCCTGGATCAGCTCATACTGCTATACCTCTCCTTTCCAAATCTTCATTTCATATAAAGGGATTGTTGTGATGCCTCGTGCATGGACAGCTCTCCCCAGCCTTGCTATATATATCTCCCCTCCCCTCCCCTCCCCTCCCCTCCCCTCCCCTCCCCTCCCCTCCCCTCCCCTCCCCTCCCCTCCCCTCCCCTCCCCTCCCCTCCCCTCCCCTCCCCTCCCCTCCCCTCCCCTCCCCTCCCCTCCCCTCCCCTCCCCTCCCCTCCCCTCCCCTCCCCTCCCCTCCCCTCCCCTCCCCTCCCCTCCCCTCCCCTCCCCTCCCCTCCCCTCCCCTCCCCTCCCCTCCCCTCCCCTCCCCTCCCCTCCCCTCCCCTCCCCTCCCCTCCCCTCCCCTCCCCTCCCCTCCCCTCCCCTCCCCTCCCCTCCCCTCCCCTCCCCTCCCCTCCCCTCCCCTCCCCTCCCCTCCCCTCCCCTCCCCTCCCCTCCCCTCCCCTCCCCTCCCCTCCCCTCCCCTCCCCTCCCCTCCCCTCCCCTCCCCTCCCCTCCCCTCCCCTCCCCTCCCCTCCCCTCCCCTCCCCTCCCCTCCCCTCCCCTCCCCTCCCCTCCCCTCCCCTCCCCTCCCCTCCCCTCCCCTCCCCTCCCCTCCCCTCCCCTCCCCTCCCCTCCCCTCCCCTCCCCTCCCCTCCCCTCCCCTCCCCTCCCCTCCCCTCCCCTCCCCTCCCCTCCCCTCCCCTCCCCTCCCCTCCCCTCCCCTCCCCTCCCCTCCCCTCCCCTCCCCTCCCCTCCCCTCCCCTCCCCTCCCCTCCCCTCCCCTCCCCTCCCCTCCCCTCCCCTCCCCTCCCCTCCCCTCCCCTCCCCTCCCCTCCCCTCCCCTCCCCTCCCCTCCCCTCCCCTCCCCTCCCCTCCCCTCCCCTCCCCTCCCCTCCCCTCCCCTCCCCTCCCCTCCCCTCCCCTCCCCTCCCCTCCCCTCCCCTCCCCTCCCCTCCCCTCCCCTCCCCTCCCCTCCCCTCCCCTCCCCTCCCCTCCCCTCCCCTCCCCTCCCCTCCCCTCCCCTCCCCTCCCCTCCCCTCCCCTCCCCTCCCCTCCCCTCCCCTCCCCTCCCCTCCCCTCCCCTCCCCTCCCCTCCCCTCCCCTCCCCTCCCCTCC